TTCGCAGTGTGCCAGCACAGAGACTGTTGGAAAGGTACCCCATTGTACCCACAAAACACGGGACATAAACCCATCTGGATTATGTCCCATGCTCTGTGTAGAGCTGCAAAGGGATCTAGCCTGTTCAACATCTCAAAAACAGTGAGAAGAGTTTTCGGCTGTAGAATAATTCACAATTCAGAACTGCTGTCCTAGCACACCTGGTCAAATATAGCTAAACAAAAGTCTAAGGAAATAAAGTCACTGACTGAAATATCTTGTGGGAAACGAAACTTCCTCTGATGAAAGTGAATTTTACATTTTTATGATGCAGATGTGCATAGATTTGTTTGTTACTTTGTAATAACAATGTGCTTTTTTCTTTTATTTTTTAGCTTATGACTGTGAATATTACAATCAAGGTACGTAGTATTTGATGTTACTGTCCTTGATTTATCCTCGTATTGATATACCTTGCTGAATTCATTTACTCTTCATGTTTTCTAGCATGCCAGCTAGCTATATGCTGGAAACAAATCTCTATGCCCTGGTTCCAGAATGGAATCCATTTTTATAAAGAATTTGATTAGATATAATTCCCCACATCAACCACTGTAGAATATGGAAGACATCCTTGATGTACTATTCTATCATCTTTCTTTCTGTATGATGCTATTTTGAGATATTTACCTCTCCCTCCCTCACTTACTTTGTTTCTCTTTTAAAAACAAATACCCAAGAGACACCTTTCTTATATCAGTTCCCTCAGATTAACCCTTGAAGGTAATAGAGTTCAGTAATTTCTCTCTTTCACAGGTTAGAATTTTTTTTTTTTGGTTCTCATGATTTGGGTATGGGAGTTTAACAAGCTCAGCAGGTTAGCAAAGCGAGTCCCCAAAGACCTTTCTGCTCCATGTCCAGGGATAGCCGTGGCATGGAGAAAAAAATCGTGGTTTTAAGCGAAACAACACATTTGGCAACTCAGATGAAAAAGGACACAGTGCGCACTGCACACTCTTTGTAGCCTGTGCTGAGAAGAATCTTTGTCAGTGGCAGCAGTGGTGGAGGTTATCTCTTCCAGTCTCTCTGCTCCCTTGGGTAGGGTTGCACAGTCGCAATCTCTTGAGCTCACTGCAGCTTCAAATCCATTAGAAAGGAGAGGTGACTTGCATGAGCAGACTGGAGTATTGTATGTTGTTTTGCAATATACTCCTTGTCTACTTAATATTATTATGTCATCATACTGACATTGCGTTCCCTCCTGCTCTGCTGTGGATATCTATGGATATCTATGTTCAGTCTTTTCACTGCATTAAGTGTGATGTGGTGAAATATGGATGGTATTGTATCTGGACCCCTGAATTTGAATCCCTGAGCCTTTCTAGCCCAGAAGAAATAGCTTCAGCGATTTGCTGTGGAGCATGGTTAGGCTAGTACCATTTTGGCAGCTGAAGCTGTTGTCTCTGTCGTATTGGCATGAGCTTTGGAGTGACAATGTGGTGAGCAAGGTTGGAAAAAGGAGCTGGGTATTTTTCAGCTAGGCCACTTCACCACTGAGGCGCTTTGCGTGGTGTAATAAATGGGGCACTAGCAGGGCAGAAGCAATTGTTTTGTGGGAGAGGATGCGCTAGACAACTGCTTAAGCGACATTACTTTACTTATATTACTTTATTATATTGCTGCTGAATTGTAACAATATAATTTGAGCTATTTTCTTTTTTTTTTTTGTGGGGGCAGAAATTGCATTGTAGATCTTAAAGTGGCTTCAGTGTCCATTTGGGGAATCATATTAAAGTTATTCTGTTGATCTCTCAAAGTATAAAAGTAAGGATGTGCAAAAGACTAAATATCATAAAATAGTAGATAATTGCTTTCCTGTACAGGTCATGTTTTGAGGATAGCAAACCATTTTGTGCTCGCTTTGTATCTGTTGTGTTCTGGGTAGCAAGCAAAGAGTAAGGGAGTACGTTGACAGATAGATACAGACCTACTCCAGCATAATACCTTGAGGCATTTAGCAGTATTTCCAAATTTATTTTATTCCAGGTATGGTAAAGCATTTAAGGAAATATCTTATGTCAGCTAAGACTTAAATTTTGTGTATTACGCAAGGAGGACTTCTCTCTTTCTACTTGATTTTCCTTCCTTAGGTCTTGGTGAAGGACCCTATATTTTGGCAAGTTATGGAGCAAATGACACAATTATAGGAGCTAATGTATCCAGTAGAAGGATATTTCCCCTGCCTAGAACTGGAGCGTATGGAAATGTATTTTTCAGTTTCATGATAACTCCAGGTCTTTTCAAAGATAAAGATTTATGTAAGTGTTCTCAACAATTTTGCTAATGGCAATGCATATTTTTCAAGCTATAGGAGTGATATTTGCTGCATTTTCTAAATCTCCTGAAACAGTCTAGGTATTTTTAGTTATTGGAATAAGTGAGAATAAAGAAGCCAATTTCAAAACTTTTTTTTTTTTTTAATTTTTTAAATACTGGAAAACCTTGTTGTCAGCTTTAAACCTGACTTCAAAGATTCTTTTAGAAATATTGCAAAACACAAGGGAATAGGATTCCTTTGTGAAACGAATCAATTAGTTTATATAACTGGAAACTGGAAAGTTTTGCACATGTATCTAGCATGTATCAACATGAATGCATGGTATGTATGTCTCCAGTAAAATTGCTTCTACTCTATCTTTTGTTCCTTTCTGTGACTTCCAATGTACTATAAACTGTGCAATTTTGAGCAACCGTATCTGTTTCCTGCATTGTTAATGAGCAGCACCTCCGTACAATGTAGAAGAAAGTTTCTTAGGTCAACAGCTATTCCTAAGCTCTATTTTTCACATATCAGAGAGTGATCCAAACTATACAATCAAAAATAAGTATGTTTAAGTATTTTCCCTTTTGTATGTATTTTCCTTTCTTCATATATATTGAAGTGAAGTCAAGAATGTTCTTAGAATATTTGCATGATGGTATTTATTAAAGAAATTTTGGTGCACCTGAACTGCCAGGCATATGTCCAAATCTGAGAAAAAACTCCCAGTTTGAGCAATTCCTACTTTGAGACTGCTTATGAATCATTTCAAAGGCTGCTAGCACTAAACTGAATGTGATTTTGATCTAACTAATTAGCTCTCTGGTGGCTCTGGATTATGTGATCATCTGAAATCTCCTTTAGACACCGCATTTCTAACTTTTTCTTGGTGTTATGTAAAGCCGATTTTTTTTTTTTGTGAAGTCATTTAAAAGGAGCCATTTAACAGCTAATATATAGATTTTAACTTCACTGTTGTTCTCTGTGAAAATCTTACTGTTTTTTTTTTTATTTTATTCTGTGGAAGCTCTCTCTCTTGTTTCCCTTGAATCTGCTGAAAGACCAAACTATTTTCTGTACGTACACGACAATGAAACCGTTGGGCTGGAGCAGTGGCGGGCAAGTGCTTCCTTTTGGAGACGAGCCACCTTCTTCCACCACCAGGGCCTCTGGAGTCCGGGGCTCAGCTCCTTTGAACTGCACAGTAAAAAAGGCTTTTTCATCGTTCTCACCTCATCTGGTGTCAAAGTGACAAAGTATGATGATTCAGAAGAATTCAAACGTTTGAGTAGCTTTAGTGTTGAAGGTAAATTTTGCGTAAATCCCCAGGGATAAGGATGGTGGTTTTTTTTCTGTATGCCTTCAGAGCACTTGTCCTTCATCAACAATTGCAACACGTATTTCTATCCTCTCTTTAATTACAATTCTGTCTTTGTCTTTCATTCCACCTCCAAATTTTGTAATTTTTACAGACACGGTGATCACTTTTATCTTTGAACTACGTTTTCATTGTTTTACTCTTTCAAAAGGAACATGTGGCATGTCACAAAAATATATATGTTCATATCTTGTTAGTGAGATACAGATATGTATTCCCTTAAATGAAAGGGGTAACTATGTTGTTTCTGCAACTAACAGTACCTTCACCATGTTTAGTTGATTTTCAAGTTTTTAAACAGAATATATTGTAAAAGTGAGTAGCTGTTTGTCTCTGTGAATCTGCAATGTCTTTTAGCTTGACTGAATTTAAAATACTTTGAAAATGAGCAGAATCTCACTTATTTGAAAGTTCTCAAGAATTTTTCTACTTGTTTTTAATATTTTCTCCTTTTTTGATAATCTCCATGTACATTATATAAAGACTATAGATTTATACCATAGATCTAGACCATGTAGTTATTTGGCTACACAATCAATAATACCTTTTCCTTCTTTCTCAGAACTAGGTGCATCTGTGCCTTATAGAAGGATGTGTGAATGGCGATACGAATCTTGTGCTAATCCTTGTGTTAAAACATGCAGTGATCCCGAAGCAACAGCATGTAAATTCCTTCCTCCGTAAGTAAAATTAAGCTTCTATTGCTATCACGTTGTTTTTGGTAACATGCTTTCTGCAAATTACTGCAGCTGCAATGTCTTTCCTTTTTTCCTCATCCAGATTTCAGCATCACTCTTGTGAGCAGCTCTCACAAGTCACATGAAAACATTTGTAACAAGCCTCTCATTTCCCTCATTTCTCTTTACATGTGATCTGTCAATACAAGGATAAGGGGGTTTGTATTTAATTTAGGAGATTAGATTCTGGTAGTAGGTAGGTCGAAACCTATTCAGTTAAATGAAGGCTATTCCCTTCTGTGGATTTATATTGGCATCCTAAACCAGCCTCCCTTAATGCTGTAAATGACTACATCTTTCCAGTGTTTATATGAGATCAAAACTTACAGGAATAGCAAGGGTGGACTACGCCCTCGTCTGTAAGAGGAAGGAACTTTTTATACAAAAGGACGCTCGTTGGCACGACTTGGTGAATTTCACACAGCTGACTCTATCTTGTTACTTAGTCACATATTTCCTGTTTCCTGGCTCTGCCTGGCATCTCTGGAACCACAACAAACAAACAAAAAGAAAAATGCCTGAAAACTCAAGGCACAAAATGTGGTGGAAAAGAAATGATACTTGGAATTTTAGACTACATCCCTAGGCATGTGCCATCTGTGATTTAGAATATTACTGATATTATTAATGTAATGATTTTCTTATTAAAAATCCCATAAAAATGAAAAACTAAGGTAATATATGGACGTGTCTTTCATGCTGAAAGTGCATAAGAATTAGACTTTCTATGAAGTCAGTCCCAATATTTTAATGTCTCAAATGAACATATTGGGGTAAACCAGCACTCTTATAGAGAAAACTTGAAATATAGAAAACCTTTGTGCTTAGGGATGTGACCTTTCACCCAGTTGTGGAAGTAGAATTGTCCAAAGCTATCATGGTCATCAGCCTATGCAAAGAATTGATTATAAACAATTCAGAAACAGAATTGCACTGTTCAGTGTCTTTTTGACCTTAAAATGTCTCAAAATACTGTGTTCACCATTATACTAGGAATTTCTCAGAACTCTGATGGGGAGGATATTTAAATGTTTCATTTCGCCAAAGAAAAATAATTTTAACTTATATTTCTACTGTGGCTTTAGAATTAATTATACAATTTTTTAAAGGGTTGAAGGATGCCTGCCATACTGTCCCAAAAACATGATCCTCGATGAGGTCACACTTAAATGTGTTTATCCAGAAGACTGTAAGTCTATTTATTATATTTGTCTAATCCTATAAATCACTCTAGAGATCCCAGGAAAGGTTTCAATCAAATGTGCCTTGCTGGTTTTTTTAATAAACACTTTAAGAGAACATCTTTCTGCTGCACAGTGTCTCTCTGGGACACAGCCATCCAAAATACATCTCCTACATCCAAACAAGCCATAGCTGAAGTTGTTTATTTCATTTCTCTAATACTACGTTATATCTGACCTCTTGTGATGGCTTTATAGCCATCACAACTACATCTGACTCTATACTGCTGGTATATCACAAATATGTAAGAGAAAGATCTCAAATGGAAGAAATACTGCTGTGGTAAAAAGTTCATACTTTTTAGTTGATAGCCACCAGTAAGAAATTAAGTGCATCTATTTCATAACTTCTGGTGTGTGAAGATACCACAGTATTTGCTTATTTGGGAGATACAGTATTTTTTTGCCATAACAATTACATTTTAATACTGTGTCTTATTTTATTTTGCAAGTTTAGAATTAATTACATTATGCCTGATATTTGCTAGTGCAAAGTTATTTCATATAGTATATACAACCTTCCAAAGATATATTTATTCCAAATGTTTTACTGTTTTGGATTTACTGAATTCCCTTGACACTTCAAAACTGCTCTGCAAAATCAAGGTTTTCACTAATAAAAAATTAATAAATATTAAAGCTAATTCATTTGCAAAGAAAATGAGAAAACTTCTCAAGTCACCTGAGTTCTTCAAAGTCATCAGGCATCATGATGCTTTGATTTGCTATTATTTAAATGAGACTGGAGTCTTTACCAATAATCCATGAAAGACAGTGAAACATCCATTTTTCCTTTTAGGCATACCTGTGACACCTACAGAGTCAGCAATTGGAACAAAACCTTCATCGTTAATCTCTCACATGAGTGCTACCATGGAGACATTTCCTCAGAAACCTCCTCTGTTTGTTGCTTCAGGGACTGAGTCAACTCATACTGGTGTGACAAACATAATAACTGTGAAGGGAAATACAACTTCAGGAGGAATGAATATGTCGGCACAGTCCATTACAGATTTCTATTCATTGGAAGCATCTAATGCAGCCACCTATTCAACATTTTCATTACTAAGTATAGTGAAGCCTTCTGATTTACTTCACAGCACAGCCAGTCCTACTGTCCTTTCCAAACTCATCTCTTCAACAAATTTTCCAACTGCTCTTCAAGCCCCAGCAGTCACATCACATACTGTCAGTTCTAATGCATCTTTAACCCATTACAGTAGAAACTCCAACAACCCTGCTCAGTGCAAATTCTTTTCCAACTGCATTATTAACACCCCCTTCCCTAGAGGCAGTTCCATTTCCACTTGAAACATCAACCACGCAGCTAGCAACTGTTTCCCCTACCTCTGCATTAACAACTTCAGCTTCCAAGCCATCTTCTGTCACTTTTGAGCTGCCTGCAGGGATTGGGAAGAGTAGGAGTCCTTCAGTAAGCCGTTCTAAGGGAGCAGCAGTATCCTCTGAAGTGTCTTTGCCTGCTCTGCTGGCTTGCACAGCAACTTTCACAGGCCTTTTCTTCTAGGTTCGCAGTTGACACAAAGCACATCTACTTCTCCTATGCCGACTCTGTCTGTTAGAACTAAGTCTGGCATTGGTCAAACTGCAGTTCACCCAACACCCAGCTCTACACTGACTTCCACTGTTCTTCAAATTCCTATGACTACTGGATTTGTTAGCTCTGAGATAAGTTTTCCTCAATTAATCACAGTCTTATATTTTGAAACAGCAAAACCCTTGTCTAAAACTGCTCATATTATTAAATGCCAATTCTTTAGCTAATTTTTCTCCAGAGTTTTTGTCTTCAGTGGAAATTTCAGTGACTGATCTCAGATGGATATCTCCACTAACAAAAGGCAGTATTTCTGCTGCTCAGCCCATAATTGTAACTTCACCTCTAGTTGCTTCCCAAACCCCTATAAACGCTGCTTTCAGTCCTTCTGTTGCATGCTCAATATCTATGTCAGCACATTTTCTGACAACCTCCCTGAAGCCCAAAGCTATGGCAGATGTCACTGTTGGCCTCCAATAGTCTTCATAAATTACCTTCTGCTGCCTTCTCTCTTCTAGTCAATCCAACAATCTCTGCTACGTCTATAGCAAGTATAGCCTCAGCAGAAGATAAATACATAATGCACACTGATTTCTTTACAGTGTCAACCATTTTTAAAAAAAACATCAAGTCTTCCCTCTTAGGACACTGGTGTTACCTCTAAATTCTACATTAATAACCACTTCAGAAATCAGAGAGCACCCAAGCAGTTCATATACAGAATTGAAAACAGACCCTGTGGCATAAAGTTCAGGCACTTTAATACCTAAAGGTCCTTCTCTTACAAGGTCATTATCTTTATTCACAATCTTGTTATCAACATCAATACCATCTTATATGGCATCTCATATTACAAGTTTTTTACTGATTCCCATAGTCAGTAAGTCATCGTCATTAACACAAAATATAGCTGCTACCCAAACATCAGTTTCATCTCTAGATACACCAGGAACTTCAAAAAGTCCTGTTACAGACTTTGCAACTTCTATAGATTTTTCTGCATTCACTTTAGACATAAGCCCTTCTACAAGCCTTTCAGCAGCTCTAAAAAAATCATTGTAATGCCCTCTTTACTAAGGCATACAATTCCTGAAGCCACTTTAGAAAGTCAGTCCAGTAGGGTCTCTGTCTTCACCTCCTCCTAAGACCGCTTGTATCTCTACTGTTTCTCTAGGAAAACAGAGTTCTTCAGTAAGTTCTTCAGAAGAAGATGGAACAAGGTCAGCCCTATCAGCTGGAATCATCACACAATCCACTACACCAACGATCACGAACACAACAGTGAATGCTACATCCTTAAAAGCACCTTATATTTTTGCAAAAATGCCACCTAGTTCTTCAGCCAGTTTATTGGTGGCTTCTGACACTACTGTAGCCTCTAGGATTTCTACAAAAACCACTGATTCTTTTGTTGCCAGCTTGGAGATTTATACGGCTTCAGCTTCAGTTCCTACCACCATAGAAGTACCCACGCATGTGTCACACAAATCTTTATTTACACCTGCAGTGACTCAAGCTTCACAGAGCACTAAAGAAACTCCAGAAATTATGCTGATGACAAGTCCATTATCACAGATGAAGCGTACCTCATCTACAGCTTCAGAAGTTAAACATGCAACCTCATTTGAGAGAACTGTAGATATTTTAGGCAGTGGTCAGACTTCATATGAACAAAGAAACGGTACCAAGACAAAGTCAACCACGACTGAGAAATCTTCCCCGCCTTATCTGACAGCACCTGCAGTTGAGAGTTCACCTTTATCAAGAAATACAACTTCAGTAAAAAATCTCTCTCTTTCTGGAGTCCCAGATGTAACCACATCAGATTGGTCCAAAATCCCAACACAGAAAACCATTAAAACTTATTTCAGTTTAACAGGGCCCACAGAGCTGCAGACCAGAACTAAAACAGATTTATCTCATTCTAGTGGTGCAATGGCTTTGCCTTCCTCTTCAGAGCCTGTGGAAACACAAGCTTCTCTGGCAGGCACAGAAACAATGGCAGCTATAGCTGACAAGGCTTCCTTTGGTACAATGATGAACACACTGATGTCAACATCTTCTGAATGTGTGGTATGATCAGTTTTACTTGCTCCTATGTGTTAAAATAAATATTGCTTTCCAGTCCATTCCGTTATGCTGCATATGTAATACCAGAGGTTTTAAATTTCTTCTATTTTTGTTTTTATTTACTGAATTATTCTTAGAGGTCTGTTGTTGCTCTTAAACTGCCCTGATATATTCTTGGATGTATCTTTCTGGAAAAAAATGACTTTTAAAGTTATGTGCTGATTCTAGATAGCAAAATGTATTTCTGAGGTGCAAAAAAAGCCATAATCCATAGCATTTTGGAGTTTCTGCATAATTTCACCCTGCCTGTCTTTTCTTCCATTTGTTTCTTTGTCACAGGGTTTAAAATTATGAGAATGCATAAATTCTGTATTTCTTAAAATGCTTCAGATTATTACTGAATATAACATAACCTCAATGCATAATGTTTTACATAGAGTATTCCACTAAAGCTAGATGGAACAGGAAGGGTGGGAGTGAATGGACGTGCATCACTGTCACCTGTTACAACTTGGTAAAAACAATTAATCCCAAAATAACTGATGAGGCATCATGTAGATACACTGATTCTGTCTCAGGGTGAGATGATAAACAAGTGGTCACCTGAACTTCATAAGGCAGTGAATGTAATGTTGATTCTGGTTGTTTTTTCCTTATATGACAGCCAAGATACCTTGAACCTGTTGACAAATGCAGCCAGTATGTATGTGTTAATACGGGTTGGATGTTGTACAACCTTTCGAGGAACTGCCCTAAGGATGTGCAGAAGCCAGACTGTGGTTTTCGAGGAATGCCAGTTCAAGTTAACACTGATAGTTGTTGCCCAGAATGGGAATGTCCCTGTAAGTCACTGTTTTGTTTTTAAATATAACACAGGGCCTAAAAATAAATAAATATAGCATAGGGTGTTTTCTGAAAGACAGAATCCCCAAATTTCAGTTAGCTCTAAGTGTAGCTTTTACTCAGAAACTGTAGAAACTGGTAGATGACTGCCAAGGGAACAGAAAGGCCAAAGAGAAATCAAGGTAAAAACCTTGCAGTTACTGAAACCAGCAATATTTGCCTCAACATAGGACAGAGCGGTCTCTTGTAATTACTATCTTAAAAATATGTGTATTTTAATGCATATATTTTGTCTCAAAATATACAGATTCATTGACCTTGCCTGCAAAACGTGAGCTTAAGTGAAAATTTCTGCTGAGACATTTCAGAAACTTGCTTCTGCTTATGGCTCTGCATGCCGTCTGCAGAACAAAGTCATCAATACTTATATATGAAAATATATATGAGAGCAAATATTGCTAAAACCGAAAGTTTTAAGAAATGTATTCGGTTTTGTGGTAACCTCATTAAATGGCAGTTCTTTTCTAGGTCAATGTTCTGTACTGTCTGAACTGAGTGTTATTACATTTGATGGAAACAACATAGCTCTCTGCAATACGGCTTCCTACATTTTAGTCAAGTTACCAGGAGAAACTATTGTTGCTCATATTGAAAAATGTCCTGCTAATCAGGTAAGATTCTTGCATTTCCACAATAATTTTAATAGTTTCTTGAATGTCTGTGTTATAGGTATGAAATTCTGCAAAAATTTATCAGTTAAAACTCTCAGATGAAAGCCATACCCCTTGAGAAATAGCAAGTTACTTAATTTTCAAGGAGCATGCTTAATGATGCTATCTAGATAAAAGAATTTTACCCCAGGTTAAATATCAATTATTGTATTATGTTATAAGGAAAGTCAAAGGTAGGTTCCTTTTAGATTATCAGAGGTGTCATAACTTCTGAATCCCCATGTCTGCCTTCAGACTCTCCACCCACAAATCTTTCTGAGGCCCTGAATTTATACTTTATTAAAATTTTACCAAATTCCTAAAATATGCTAAAATATTTTGAATAACCACAGCAATCTTTTGTAGATATTTTAGGTAGTATCAGTGAGTCTGGGATTAGCATGACGAGTAGCTCTTTGTAGTTGTCTAACCCTCTCCATTGCCCACAGAGGGGATTCAGCCATTTATTTTTAGACTGCCAGTTCAGGTCAGGTCGGTCTCATCCTTAGAGTTACAGAATCATAGAATCGTTTAGGTTGGAACCTAAGACCTTTAAGAGCAAGCCTGTACATATATTTCTTTTGCATTGTCCACAGTCCCCAATTTATGCAGCCGTTGAACAACTGGCTTGTATTTCCATCTTTCTTTCGTGGATAAACAAGGTCTTGACAAGGAACTTTATCAAGCTTCTTTTCTTCCCATCCCTATTTGGTTTCTTATCTATTCTCACTGGGCAACTGTATACTTGATTTTTAAGTCCTGAGTCTTATACTGATTTAGAAGTTTTCTTTGAAAATTGCTCTCTTCCATGTTTCTTAGTTGCAGTCTAAAGGTCTTTACTTTAATTTACTTTAACAAGTAAATTAAATTTCTAAAAAACAATTCAAAGAAAAGTGAATTACATTAGCTGGGAAATATATTTTTGGTAATTTATAAGGAATATATTATAA